GAGAGAAACGCGCCGAGGGTCGACCTCACTCTCTGCCCCACCACATAGTGACCGCCTTTATTCAACGTCCACTGCCCCAACGTCGGACATTATCGTAGGCAGTTGCTTTCGACTCGCTGACCTGCAGACCCTTGACCGACTTCCATTCGCACACATGCAAGTGCCTCCAAATAGTCGCGGCTGCCAAAGAGTCAATTCTAAAACACCGATCGATGCAGCAGGGGCCTCTACACGCGACACCCTCTCGGGCAACGCAACACACCAATCGCATACAACTCGAACTGGCTTCACAATCATCTAAAAGCAGCTACCATCCATCTCTCACACAGTCAGCCAGTGGCCACTGCTGCGTTAGACAGCAACTTAGGGTTCTGGACAGAATAAATCCCTCATGATGCTGTCTTCCGCCTTTTACCTACAACCTGGGATTCGGTCTGATGATTATACTGGGAACTGAGTACAACCACAGCTTACACGCTACAAGACTACATCACTTCCACAAACGAAACTCAAGGAACCTAGGTAGACTGAAAAACAAACGTCTATCAAGGATACAATTGGTCAGCAGCGAAAAGGAATTAGGAGCGGGAACTAGGTGTGCGCGAAAACACTTTACTGGAGTTCAGTAAGAGTTAACACGAGTAGAGATGGTAGTCTCTGGTCTGACTACAACCAAAACCAGTTACTTCGACGTGTCCTGTAGAACAGTCTGAAAAATTCACAAGTGTTGATTACCACACATGAAGTGCAGGTAACATACTTCAATTCAGAGCTTAACCACTTTTTTTCGTTTTGCGAGGTAAGAAAATGTACAAAATATGCGACAGCTCTAACTATGTACACTCGGTGTCAACTAAAACAGCGGCTCATCAATTGCGAAAGCACACGAGTGGTTAAGAAAGATGTACAAGATAGAACGATGACGGGCGGGGGCATGAAAGGCGGCAAAGGGGGGGCGGGGGCTGTCCCCGGGGACCAGGGTGTTTGATCAATCGGACACATCACAGAGAAGACATGCTGGAGCATTCTAAGGATCAGGAGGTTTGGCCGACTCCGAAGACGGTGGTTTGGAATCGAGAGCTCGGAGTTCCTCGTCTATTCGCTCCTTAGCACGGAAAACCTGTTTGGAGGCAAGAAAAGCCAGAGTAGAAGGTCGAATGTTACATGACATCTAAACGCTGGGTAGTACACAGAGAATCCGGGCAACTCAGACTGGAATACATTTGTTTAGCAAGCAAACCTAGTGGTATATTCGGCTGCCAAAAAAAATCAGGCTCCTAGGTCTGAGGAATAAACGCTCGAGGAGGATACATAGTTGGGCACAAAGCTGGCAAATTGGCCACCACTTACAGCAGTGCGTAGTTAGGACCGATTGCTATCCGTTAAGCTTCACCAGTCACTGTTCGACAAAATCCAGGATTTTCACTGGCATGCAGGAGAGATGGACGTAGACTTCTGTCTTTGAGTTTAGTTCGAGGATAGTAAATCCTCCCGACATCGAGGTAACTCATACTACCTTTGCGTCAGAAGTCGTGAATCAATCAAATTTTTTGACAAGCAAAAACCTGCGGTTCATGCGCATTTTTTGAGGATCGATGGTTCCGAGAGGGAAGATTTTCCGTCCAATTGCAAAACAAATGCTATGCAAAGACACGACAAAGATAAATATATATACTACTACCGATGCTAGTGTCACCACCACTATTATTATTAATTTATTACTACAGCCACCGCCACCAGTGCCGAAACCACTAGCATCGTTCGTCCAAGCCAGCAAACTGCCTCTAGTTTGCGACTTTTCTTGGTCACCTCTGCCAAGGTAACACGCAAAATATATCTCACTGTGTTGGCCGACTTGTCCGTTGAACCTGGCCGTGTATACTTAGACTACGATTTTTCGAAGATGGATTTTAACAGTTAATTTCGAGTTGGAATTCAGGTGGATGACTTCATCAGACTTCATCGGCCTGCTTACTGAATGAAGCGATCATTAAAATCCGTCAAAGGCCCCCATCGTACCGTTCCCTTCCAGTCACTCCTATCGACAAATACTTAGGTGGTTATTTATGCCTGTTAATGAGTAGTCTCCATCAAAAGCTTATTGGCTATGGCATGTGAGAGCCTAAATGGGCATTTTGGCAATCTTTTCACAAGCTTGTGTCGGATAGAGGTCATACCGGCGCAGCGACACACCTGGGGGTCGCATAATGCAGTTGCTGAAAGGATTCTGCTTTTGGACTCTTCTCCGTGGCGAGTACAATGAGTTTGCAATGAGTTTGCAGCGGCATATTTTCAGTTAAATGACCAGTGCCAAAGATTGATGAGTCTGGATGGCAATCATACACGGATGTAAGGTACCATGGAGAAGGCTAAACCAGCAGTGATGATAGCCCATGCGAGTATGAATAGTTGGAACTAGTTGCAGTCAATAAGGCTCGTGAAACCCACCCTGCGTCCACCTATCATGCATCAGACTACCTTTTTTGCGTACAAGAGTGATAGGCAAGTGAACACCTGCCATATAATCTGTTGCGCATAGTATTGGCTGAGTACGAAGTCTTGCACGAGCTGGTTTTTGAGGGTTTATCCACTCAGGCTGGTGGAACCTCCAAGATACGTTGACATACTCTGAACGATGCAACAAAATGTGTGTGGCAGGGGTAGTAAACTTTCGCAGTGCAAATAGTCTTTACTTTAAACCACTTAAAGCTAAAACAGGGCTCCTCGTAGGCTATACTTCTTGTCGAAGGAGTAACCAAAAGTAGAAGACTTGAAAAGTGACGGAAAGCTCACAGTCAGGATTGACCGTCAAATCATCTTCGGATCCGTTAGCAGGGCTCTTCTGATAGTTAAATTCTACGGCAGTACGATGAAACTTTCGTAACGTGAGTTAGCCAAGCAAGTTTCAGGAGGCATGCCGACAAGTATTATGGCAATGACAAAAACATTACGTCTCTGGAACACTCAAAGCTACAAACCACGACAAATGTATTCTTGCAGAGACGGGGCACTGAACAGGAGTACAGGACGCTGGACCCTTGATCTTTGTTTTTCAATTCAACTGCCAGTACTTGTAGTATGTAGGAGAAAGGCGGCAGAAACAGAAGTTGCATGCAGAAGGTAAAAAGTTAGCCAGTGGAGCTGAGCAAAACAGGTTGCTTCAGAAATCTTTCAAGAGACAACCTAGGGGATGAGGCCGCTCAGAGGCACTCCTGGGACCATTATCATCAAACAAATATACTGGGATACATTTACTAGAGGCAGGACTGTGGTACCAGCAAGAATCTCCAACTTGCCAACTATGCGGTAGGCAAAGAGCGTCTGGCATTAAGACAAAATATAAGCTAGTTGCGCTGAGTCAACAGCAGAGTGGCCTCACCTTGGACTGCAGATACAGCGAGCCGCCTTTTGCCTTTGCATTCGCAGAAAATAAATGATCAAACTTTTTCTGTACTTCCTCGGCATTACGGATGTCCTGGACGTTCAAAATTTGCTTTGCTTCCTCAAGAGAAATCCCCGACACAGTATTGGTGAATGAGTCGCCGCTACGGGACGAGGAAGAGTCGCTAGCACGCGCATTAGCTCGAGCCTTGGCAGCCTGTTGACTCGCCGCGTACTCCTCTTGCAGTGCTTTGGCAAAGGCACGGCCGAGTATGCGCGAACCCGCCAGCACAATCTGGGCGATGTACTTTGCCTGTGAGATGGACAAGAAAGGGATGGTTTTGCAACAAAATTTTTGGATAACCAAGGCAAAAACATGCATTTAGTCAGACCTGGTGTAGCAAGGGACGAAGGAACTTCCATCAAAAATGACATTGGCAATTAGTTTATGAGAATCACGCACTGCCCTAAATCTGCAACTATAAGTATACTCTCTGACTTTTATGGTAACTGTAAATAGTATGAGATAGTCCAAATTCTTTATGCTTGTGCTAGGTATAGATAACAGGTTCCAAGCTGCAGTTTTCGTTAACAGGCTCCTCGAGGCCATGCCAGGCATGTAGGAACTTGTGATGTAGGTCAGAATCAATGAGGATGGCCTCAACGACCGCTTGCAGATGCCAGTGAAGTACTGATAATACCCAAGACAAAAGTTAAAACTTCACCTAGGCAGGGCACTTTGAGCAAGAAATTTCTTGCTTATCAGTGAACGCAAATGGTAGAAAAAGCGTTGAGGCAAATCACTCTCGACTACACCTTTCTAAACTGTTTAAATTTCTACCAACTCATGACTGGTAAACATAACTTTCTCGTTCTGTACAATTTCAACCATAAACTGACAACTCTTGCCCCTCGTAACCGCAGCTTAATCGAGGTTGAATGCACATTGCTTACTGTTAATTCAGACTTCCATTACAGGAATGGAGGCCAGTAAGACCGCATTTTGAGATCTTTCCTGCAGCTCGCACCGGCTAAAGTCAAGTTCGAGATAATACAGAGAAGACACTGTTATGGCTAGAGTCCTGGGTGTGAGGAATAGTGCACTGCAGTATTTTGCAATTAAGCGAAGGCTTTCTAAGTTTGATCCTAATCTAGTAAATATCCCTTGCTAAGAAATACCTGTTCATTGTAATTTTGATCATATATGACGCGTTTGGGATAGAAACGCAGCAGAGGTTACTCTTGGTGTCCTGTATAGATCGAAATTTACTAGCATTTGTGCTTTTATGGCCAGACAATAATATAATACAACTTGCAAATCCTGCGAATGTTTTACGAATGGGCACAGATTGGAACCGTTATTTTTATTACTTATAATTGTCTTCCCTATCTTAACAAGATATGATATAGATGACACTCAGTCCGGTGTAGGAGATGACTATTAGGGAGACTGTAATGTGAATGAAGGAAAATGTTCGCGTTCCAGGGATTAGCATGGGTGAAAAAGACGGATGGTCGAGCACCGGAATCGATTTGCTTATTATTCTGAGCTTTCGAACTCTTGCAGGAGTCCATCGTCAGAGATAAGAAAGAGCAACAGAAGAGCGCTATAACTAGCCCCTATTTTGTTGCTGTTTCTTATCTCTGAAGATGGACTCCTGTAAGAGTTCGAAAGCTCAGAATAATAAACAAATCGATCCGGTGCTCGACCATCCGTCTCCTTTACCCAGATTGTAATATAATATGCAAAATACTTTGCGGACTGCAAAAGGGTAGATCTCCAGTTATTCAAAATGAGTATGATAGTTAGCATTGAAACGTAACGCATCAGCAAATGCTTGTATGTCAGACGCGAGAAAAATCACAACGGATGACAGTCTTTAAGTACACTTAACATTTTAACGACTTTTTAAGGTGCGCATGTGTCAGGCAACTTTTTTTTGAGTTCCTGTGACGGGCAGTTTGTATATTTCTGTTACCCATTTAGCATTGCCCAATAAAAGGTATCAACTTTATTAAATCAGAGAGCCGAACGTCTAAATGCTAGATCTATCGTAGCCTTTGGTCAACAAATTGAACGTTGGCAGCACTAAACTATATGGAATGGTGATAGTCAATAACCTCTGTTGTGGGAAAACCAGCGTTTCATTCAAAATGTTAAACAATCTTCACAGTGAAGATACAATAGTTTTTGATGGAGCAATGAATAACGCTTCCAAATGCAATCCATACAGGGTAAAAGGCGATGGCACCCTTTTCTATTGGAAGAATATACAAAGCTGGATTTTAATAATGAGAATTCGGAAATTCTTATCATAAGACCTCAGAATCTGCTACCAATTTCCGCAAAAAACATCAGCGCACATGGTTAATATCTCAAATCGAGTAGGCAGTGAAATACCTGAGGTCGGCAACCACAGCGATACTACCGAATGTGGGCTGTCTGACTGGCCGTATTGAGCATAAGCGCAATTTCACGGACAACCGCGCAGGCATCAACACGGCTGAATCACTCGGACGAGGCTGCTAGCTCAAGTAGTCAAAGTACCGAATAGAACTTAATTGTGGCTCGCTGCTGTATCGGTGCAAAAATGTCCCAACTTTCCCGATAGCGATTGATTCCTGTACAGCTTGTATGCAGTACTGGGTATTATTCTGTACGACGCATGGCAGAAGTTACAAGAGGTTATAACCTCCACAAATCAGGGCCAGAAAGAGAGGTCCTGATGTACTAGAGTGAACTAGAAAATTTTATCTAGATTTATTCTAGTAAATTGTTAGCGGGGGAGGGCAAAGGTACTGGCGCCAGTGGAAGAAACATAGGCATGCGTATGCCAGGTGTCTCACAATGAGAAAACTGTCCCAGCAGACAAGAAGGAATTGAAAACATGCGACCATCTCATCGAATGTAGACATGGATTTTACATAGACAAAACGTTAGACAGATTAATCGGAGTTGAGTCTTGTACAACATCGAATATTCGAATTCCGGGCCTCAGAAATTGAGTTTAAGATGTCTTGAGGAACTTAAGTTTTTGCCGTACCCTACAATACGCAAGGAAGCTTAGAAAACGACCGCAACTAACCATGTCAAGAGTTAACTTTGAAACAAGGCCGCCTTTATAGTGCATTTAAATAAGCATTTTGCTTAGGCCATTGTCGTTTGGTTGCTTCAATTTTTCAGGACAACTTCTGCGATGGAACACTACTAAAAACAATTAACTTCGAAGTCTCCAATGAACCTTCTAGTAATTCTTTTTTCGAAATGCTGCCGTATCCTGGGGATAAGCCGTTAAATTCGATTCCTCCGTTCCTTGTATGCGTTAAGAAACACACGAATTTCCACCAACAAGAGGGTTCTTTTGCACCTTTTTTCCACCACTTCGTCGTGAAACGCCTGAGTCAACCACTTGGGGTCTAGTGTTCATCCTCTTTTGTCAAATATATCAGTGATTTCTGAGGATAATCTATAATAACTCTCTAGACCATTCGCCATCCTTGATTATATTGCAAGAGGACGCTGAATTCCTGTTTATATTGATCCTTTCAGCCTTTATTTGATCAAATTCACGACACTGAATTTTTCTTCTAACCCTGATAGACGGTTAGGCGCCTAACCGTTTGAATAACTGCAATGAAATGCAATGTGGCCTAGGATAGGTAGACTTTATACTTTATCAAGGCTTTCCAGCAATTTTGTGGTTACAAAGGATAGTGTTGCTGAGTTTTATATTTCATAAACTCCGTTTTGGGATGTACAACAACTAGTTTGGGAACGAGGATGCAACAGATAAAGAAGTATGTTCGCAAATGGCTGCAATTGCAAAGTTAGATGAGAGCATGCCTAGGTGTCGAATTTGACGCAACAAATAATTTTATGGTTGTGCTTGTTTTGAGGCCGCCTAATGGTAACAAGCGTTAGTCTTATATTTTTCACCGTCTAGAGGCTTCTTTAAATAACCATTAGGAGTTACTCTGATAGTTTTCTTGGTTTGCAGGCGTTCTTTTCTGCCTTTCTTGCCCATTCTCGACCTGTTCACCTACATTTTCTGTTAAGTAAAAAAAATTAGAAGGATCCTATTTTCTTCCCTACTGTGCATTATTTTCGCATCAAAACGGTCCCTGCTTTACCCCACTACCTGAATTCTCTTTTACCGTAAATCACGTAAGAAATTTCAGCGGGGGCTACTTTTTTTTCCAGGCGTCCTCACAAGAAATTCCTGCTAGTTTTATTAATGAATGTAACTCAGAAGTAGCAGTTAATACTATAGGAATATGATTTGCTCTGCAGGTGGCAAGACTACAGAGGTTGGGTGATGTTACAGTGGCCACAGCTATACCGATCCAGTTTCCTTTTTTGCACCTATTTTTACAACGCCCATTCCTCATTCATCAGTTTTCCCCACCCATAAAACCCCCAATCCCACGCTTCCCGTAAGACAGAAACCTGGGGCTTCTTCCATACAATAACACTACCAAAGGCACTACTGCCGAAGTACGGCCAAAGCTGCACAGATAATAATAATTTGTATATTTAAGGCCCAAGGGGCCCTGTCGTTACAAAC